TTAAAATGAGGAAGAGAATGAAAAACAAAGGAAAAAACAAAAGTCGTCTGATCTTCAGATCTGAATGTTAAAAAGGTTAAAAAAGAAAAAGTATTGCGACAAAGATGCGATTATTTCAAAAAGGGAGTCCAAATTAACAAATATGAAAGTAACTAGTAAGTGTAAGTCCCCCCACATGTAAAGACTCTGTCATCTGTTCGTTGACCAACTGATCCATCGTGGGCCCCCACTACACCAAACCCCTTACTACTTGCCAGTTAAGCATCCAAAATCAAAGCTAGTTTGATTCTTTAAGGCTTCTAAATGTTCCACCAAATATCAAGTTGGAAAAGGGCACATTCAACACTTGTCCACTTTAGTTGTCAATAGATCGAATTTTAATTTGAATTTTGATATATTTCAATTCAGTTGTGATATATGATATGATTCATATACGTTGTGTATAAAGTTATAATGGCATTGACTTGATCAAACTTAGATTGAATTTTAATTGTTATGAATCGGACATTGACTTTGAAAATCTAATGCGAACCCGATTTAATAATCCGATGAATTTTATTTTTCGTACTTCATTTTCAAATATGTTAACAATCTGAAATCTAATCCAAGCCGAACAGCTGAATCAGATCGGTTATAGGTATATATAAATCTAAATCCGTGAATTATAAGATATTAAATTTGAATTTGGGTTAAAATATCAAATCATATTTGACTAATTAAATTCAAGTTTGGATCAAATTCGAATCTAAATTTGATTTATTGACGAGCCTAGGTTTGACCCCAGCTGAGCCACATGAAGAAGGAGGAGCAATAACATTGGCCCTTATTTAAAAATTAAAAAAAGCACCCAGCACCCTTCTTAGATTATTTTTATTATAATCTATGTCCATTGTTCGTTTGGATCCCACCATTTTCTAAAATTAGTTTTTTTTTTACTCACTATGGTCTTGTCTTTTACTTTTTTTCTCTATTTTATATTTACTTGACGAGAGAGAAAAAAAATTAATATAAAATGGAGTCGTGGTTTTTTTTTTAAATTCTCATTTTGAAATAAATATAATATTTTGAAAATTAATATTATAAATATTAATATTGATATAAAATAGAGTCATCGTGGCCAACTTTGATACAACTTGCAATCTCGTTCAGTCCAAAATGATGAATTGCACTCATTTGTGGTTTTATATCATGAACTTCATTTTTTTTTTTTATCATTGTTTTGTCTTCCACTTGAATGAAATTGCCTCTTAACCATTGAATCTTTCTCTTTGATTGTTATAGCTCACTAGAAAAACATACATGGGTGAGTAGGCTTTGCAACGTATCAATTTTGTATTGGGTTTTATTTTATTTCATGAATTTAATTTGAGACCGATCTTATATTACAATTAATATTCAAATTTATTAAAAAAAATACCTTTAGTTTGAACCAACTCAATTGGAGATGAATTTTAGAAAATTATATCTTTTTTTTTTTTGTAACGAGGAAAATCTTGGTTTGTCCCCGACGAGTAGAGGCACTCTTATGTTACTCAGGCTCGTGGGTCCGAATAGAATCAAAGACAAACCCTTGGTGCATAAACCGACCCCTTAACCCATATACCAATTAGATTAAGACTTGTGCTTCGGTGGAGAATTCAGCCCACATCATAAACTTTGATACAGTTCGTTTAAACAACTAAAATTCGTTTTATCAACCAACCACATTTTTTGTCGTCTAGTGGACTTGAATTCTTGACTTTAAGAAGATAAAACATTCACACGGCAAAGAGTATTATTGGACCAAAGGCTCATTGATAAATTATATGTTATATTTACTATATTTTATCAAATAACCACTTAAATAGATCACATATTCATAGACAACAAAATTATATATGTCATTTTGATTGGACCATAGTTGAATTAGGCAATGGTATGTTAAAATTTGAATTAATAAAATTTTGTACAACAGATTGAAATTCATACAGTCCATAAAAAATATAAATTCATATTCCATTAATTGAACTCACATTCAGATTGAATATCTTATTTAACAATAAGTGGAGGTTAGGGATGTGCAACTATCTGAAAATTCAACATCGACTCCACCTCCACCAGAGTCGGAATGAAGTGAAAAATTCTTATCAGAGTTAGTGTCCAAAATGTGTTCCAAAAAATATTTGACTCCTACTCCAATTTTTTTATATAATTTTATTTTATTTTATTTTTTTTTTTAAAAAAATATAAAATATATATATATATATATATATCAATTATCAAAACCCTAATCGTTTTTGGACCACGCCTCTTACTCTCATCTCTATCATTTGGAGTCAATGGAGCTTCGTCGTCGACGATGAACCATGCAGGAGTCAGCGGAGTCTTCTAGATTCTAGTAAGCCCCTTCTCTATCTCACTTTCTCTTTTTCTCTCACTCTTTCTTGTTCTCTCACATTCTCACTCTTTCTCTTTCTCTTTCTCTCACTCTCTCTCTCTCTCGTTAATCACTCTCTCTCGTTCTTCTCTTTTGTTAGCGAAAGTGAAAGTGTGGAACCCTAAAATTCTCAAATTTAAGAGATTATTTTTTACCCTAAATCCTCAAAATTGGCCTTAATTTAAAAACTTCGGTTCTACTCCGCCAATTGAAATCAGAGCGGAGGCAGAGTCGGAGATATTATACGTCAGAGCCGGAGTTAGAGTCATCCCGACAAAGAGTAAGAGTCAAAAATCGGAGTTCATAGTTCCTACTTCCTACTCTGTCGGAGTCGATACCTACCCCTTAGTGGAAGTTATGAGTTAAAGTCCTTTTTATACCTTTTGCAACTTTTTATGCCACTTGACCATCAAAGTCAGTGGGTTTCAATTTTCAACATAAAATAAAATTTAGTTCATCTCTATTCATTGGGGCATAAGTTTAAGTTGAATTTTGATTCTCTCAGTTGGAGAATATCTTCAATTTTTTGGCAATTTGAATTACTCCCCCTCTCTATAGTAGGAGTGGGGCCCATGGGTAGGGATTGGGTAATACAATCTTAGAAAAAATTTGTAATTACATTTAGGTATGTCAATGTTTTAAAAAGCATGATACCAATTACAAGGAGGAAAAGAGTGTTGGGGGTACAATGTCACGAGTTAAGAGGTCAATTCAAGTTCAATAAAATATTCATTTAGTTTGAGTATTATCTATATTTTCATTGAGTTTAAATTCTTTACTTAAATTTAACTAAATATTTTGAAAACTTTCCGTCCAATACAAAATATTCTCTAAATTGGATTCGGACTGACTCTCATTCATTTAGTTATTAGGGGATCATGTCGTATCATACTTGTGAGTTGCATCATGTAAACTTTGATACTACGTATGTCTAGAACAAATTAATTAAATCCCTATTAATTTATTTAATTGATTTAACGGATCTATCTTTAAATCTGGTAATATTAAACATAAACTTTGTAATATCATATGATTTTTTTGTCAATCATGCAGAAAGAGAGAGAGAGAGAGAAAGGACGGTTGGGGGTTCGGGTTCACACACACACACACGTATTGCATGACGTTACATGGTCTTATCGTTTAAAAAATAATCTTCAAGAAATGCGCGCATCCACCAAACACATTGACTTAACACAATCCTAAGCTTCTTCCTTCCTTCCTTCCCTCCCTCACTTCAACTAAATAAATAGAAGCATAAACCTTTCCTTACCGCCTTCGCATCTTCTCTCTCTCTCTCATTTTTCATTTTTCTCTATAACACCTCATTCTCATTATTGTGACGATGAGGTATGAATAAATAGAAAAAAGCTTATGATTAAATTTTTTTTTAGGCTCAACAGTCAGGAGTGTTTAGACTAATTTACGTGCACCTCAACTAATTTTATTTTCAATCTAGTCAAAAGTAGGACATTCACGTCGAAATTAGAATATTCATAAGAGATAAATTTCTTATGACATATCACTAAGAGAATATTAAAATTCCAACTTAATATGTTTTAATTTCATTTTTTAATTAGTCTAATAGTACCTATTAAAAAAAAAAGAAAATTCAAATATATACCCATTTTCTTGTAATTTTTAATAGTTTTGGGGATTGCTACAAACAAACAAACAAGAGTGAAGAAGAATTCGCGCCCTTTGACTCCTCAGATATAAAGACAAGTCATGCACAGTGGACAGCGACTCTCTCTATTTCACACACATATTTTAACATCAATAGTAATATTAGATTGAATCACGACCGTCCAAATTTAACTGAAAGTATGATCTTGTCTGTACAGCCTGGCCAGCGATGACAGACAGATACCCGACCAGAATCCATGAGGGGCAGTAAGTAATAGACAGAGAGATGTATTTGTTTGCTTACTAAAATTGGGCCTCTGCCAAGTCAAACCTATGTGTATCTATAGGTTTGTTTGGCCCAATATGGTTATTCACATTAATGCCCTTCAAACGCATTCTTTCACAAAAATCATTGTCCCTCCGCACCCCTCTAAAAATTGATCTATCTTCAAAAAAACAAGTATGCAGTTTTTAACTTTTAGTACACTCGCTTCTATTTTCTCTGTCTCCTAGATCATTCATACTTTCTATCAAGAATAGTATTAACGTTATATCATATATTATTTTCAAACTAAAATTTCTCGAGCAATGAGGGTAATACAGTAAAATAAAATATAAATTGCAATGCTGATTTATTCCGTCTTGGGCTTGACCTTGGGCTTTTAGACAACTAGTCGGACCACGGCCAGAGACGAACAACAAAAAATGCCCTCCACTCTCTTTACGTTGACTCTATTAGAGGACTTATTGGTCATTCCACCCATTCACTGCCACAAATTGTCCACGTGTCAGATGATATGGATTCCTCCCCTATAAAACCCAAGCACCTGGAAAAAGTGCCACGTGCACTCGTCCACTAAACCCCTACGACAACACAACAACAGTAAACAACCTGTTTACTCACTTCCACGACCACAGTTCCACTCTCTCTCCTTCTCCCCCTCTTTCTCTCTCTCTCTCTAAAAAAAAAAAAAAGAAGCAAGTCTTCCCCACTTTTTTCTTTTCACTTCCTCAACCCGCAAAAACATTACAAATGCAAAGCCTCTCTCTGTCCATTTATTTTTTCTTTGTACATACATAGGCACAAATACATACAGAGATTTGTGATGTTTTTCTATCATTGTTGTTTCTGTATTTTTTGAAATGAATCAAATGTGATGGGCAGTGGATTCTCGCACCTCTTTCCGTGTTTCAACCCGGCCGGAGCGGCGAACCGGGGAGAAACAGAGGTGATCTTTACGGCCACAGAACCGCTTGATGAAACCCTAGGTCACTCCTTCTGTTACGTCCGCTCCTCGAATCGCTTTCTCTCTCCTACTCACTCCGATCGGTTTCTTTCTCCTTCTCAGTCTCTTCGGTTCGACGAACCGCTCACGAAATCGAGGACGCCCGGTCCTCCAGAGACTGGATTTAAAGCCATTTCAGGGGCTTCCGTCAGTGCGAATACTTCTACTCCCAGAACTGTCCTCCAACTTGAGCATATTTACGACGATATCAATGATAGTATTGGGGGTGGTGTCAAGAGTAGTATAGTGAATGGGTTTGAGAGTACGTCGTCGTTTAGCTCTTTGCCACTTCAACCGGTGCCCCGGGCCAGTGGTGGTGGCGAGCCGTCGGGTCCGATGGAGAGAGGCTTCTTCATGTCCGGTCCGATCGAGCGTGGGGCCGTATCGGGACCCCTCGATGGAATCAATGCGTCCGACGGTAGTAATAATGTCCCATTCTCAGCTCCGCTTGGTGGCATGTACGTCAAAAGGAGGAGGAAGAAGGGAATTTCGGGTATTCGAAAGGCGTTTAACCGGAATTTCTCGGAGAAAAAACGGCCGTGGGTGGTGCCGGTTCTGAATTTTGTCGGTGGGCGTAAAGATGTGCCTGCCGCCGGAGACGCCGGTGCAGCGGCGGGGGAGATGAAGAGTATTGACTGTAATGTGCAGTGGGCTTTGGGGAAGGCGGGCGAGGATCGAGTACATGTGGTCGTATCGGAAGAGCATGGGTGGCTTTTTGTTGGAATTTATGACGGGTTTAATGGTCCCGATGCCCCTGAATTCTTAATGGGTAATCTCTACAAAGCTGTGTACAACGCACTAGAGGGTCTCTTCTGGGACAATGAAAATAAAATTCCTCAGGATTTACAAAATGCAACTCCTGAGTTCACATCAATTGCAGAGAATTCGCAACCATTAGCAGAAAGTATTTCTCAAGAGATTGGTAGTGTAAGGGAAATAGAAGAAGGTGGAAGTGGTGGAAATGATTCAGGATCGACAAAGAAGGTGACATTTCAAAATGAGGGGATTGAGATCAGGAGGAGGAGGAGATTGTGGGAATTTTTAGCAGAGGATGACGCAGAAGATGGGCTCGATCTTTCGGGTTCGGAGAGATTTGCTTTTTCCGTAGATGACGCACTTAGCGTTAGCAATGGGGGATCAGCAGTAAGTAGACGTTCATTATTGCTATCAAAATTGAAACATGGGTTGTTAACTAAGAATAAGGAGAATAAGTTGTTGTTTCCTTGGAGATTTGGATTGGAGGGCAAAGAGAAACAGGAGGTGGAGGAAAATAAGGCGGATGAGGAGAGTAGTAGTAGAAGTCGGAAGACGCGGAAGATGGGACCAGTTGATCATGAGTTGGTTTTGAGGGCAATGTCTAGGGCTCTGGAATTGACTGAGATTGCATATTTGGATATGACAGATAAGGTTCTTGATCGGTACCCTGAACTTGCGCTCATGGGTTCTTGTTTGTTGGTTGTGCTGATGAGAGATGATGATGTGTATGTGATGAATTTGGGGGATAGTAGGGCTATTGTTGCACAAGACGAATTAGATGAAGTAAATTCTAGTACTGACTTGAAAGGGCCAGAGCAAATTGGGTCAAATGTGGAGGGAATAGTTGAGGAATCCATGGACACTGTTGAGAGGGCCAATAAGGTGGTGAATGAGGCTTCTGCCCAGGTTATGAGGTTGACTGCATTGCAATTGTCCACCGATCACAGCACAAGCATTGAAGAAGTAAGTGGCAACATTAATTTACGCTCATTAGTTTACCATTTCATCTTCAGTAATTTTATTGTTTTTTATTTATGGTCTATCCAATTTGATGACACGAGAGCAATTGGTTGCTGTGTTGTATTTTCTTGAAGTTTCTTGAAATCCCCAGGTCGATATATCGTTTAGTGTAGACTGTAGGACAAGAAGCATGAAGCTCCGACTCTTTAGCAGATTCATAGGTGTATACATTGTGCTTTTCCACGTTTAAAATCAACACCAACTTTTGTAGTAAAAAAGAACTCCTCAACGGATTGGTTTCTTTTGTGTAATCCAAAATCTTCTTAACGGTTGGGCAGAGTAGGAAAGGCTACTTTTGTTTTTCCATTGTCCCACACCATTATTACTAGCAATTTTGCCAGATGTATCTCTTACTTACTGAGCAAATGCAAGAGTATGAGATGATTTTAGGAAGCTTCCTTTGTCTTGGCAGGTTCTCTCCTGAGTACTGGATGTCTCCTTGGTTGCTATAGTGTATTTTTTTTTATATGGATATAGTGTATTTAAGATTAATATTTTGGACACAAATGATTGTTTTATAAAAGGCAATTTTGTTGTACAAATAATGTCAAAGGTTAGGTATATTCCCAATCTACCCCTGCCAAACCACCATTAATGGGACTAAACGGGGTGTTTTTTTAATGAAGTTGGAGATATGTTGTTATTCATTGCTCGGGTGATATTGATCATTAGACTTTTCCTTTCTAACGCTTGTAGGATATTTTTATATTTTCCCAATTCTGGTCATGCCTCTGAATTTTTGTAAGATCAACTAGGAAGAGCTTGAATATGAGAAATATTCTTTTTTTTTCCTATTTTTCAAAAAAAAAAAATGTTAATTTTCTTGAAAGAAATTTGAATATGCAGATGAACTTTTTCTTTATTGTGTCCTTGTATCATTTTTTCAATCTAGATGCTTTAAATTTAGAGTCTATATGAAGCAATGGACTAGGATGGTGATAGCTAAACAACAATCATGCTTAGTCATCAGGCATAGTCGTGGTCCCCGGTGAATGTTGCTTGTGGTTAAAGCCTCAATGAGTAGCCATAGATTTGGTCTTGGCCATGAATTTATCTTGTCACAGGACCTTCAGTGTGCTGGCCTTAGATTTTGGCTTTGAAACAGTGCTTCTGTATACCGATTTTTTGGCCCCCAGCATCTCTTGGTGGGAGGTACATCTTGATTCATCACAATGAGAACGATTGCCAGTTGTTGGATTTTATTCTTTTCCCTATGTTATTGTATCTGTCGCCATGTATGTTAGCTTTTCGCGTGCATTCAAATGTGATGGAGCCCATTTATTTGTAAAATCTTTTAGTGTCTTTCAATGCATGTTTGAGTAACTTCTAAATGGGTGAGAAAAGATGGAGGACAGCAAGATATGTGAGCTGTGACTGATGCCTCCATAAGCTGTGGTTGTAGGTCAGAGATAAACATTGTAATGCAAGAACAATAGAGATGTGAAATATATTTGTTTCCAACCCTTGTTATGGAATAGACGTGGGGAAATTAACTGTTATTAGAACTATTACTCTCTAAAGATCATCTCAATCTCAGTCATGTGGCTTTCTCTGCCAGTGGTATCCTACCACTCCCATTTCAGGTTTGGTTAGGGTTCCCCCTTGCCACGAAGATCCATATAAAAGCATAAATGGAAAACCAAAACTTAGGTGTGACAACATCTTTGTTAATCAGATAAATAGATAATATGTAAGCCCTATAGTAACTCAACACTGCCAGATGGGGAAACTATTTAGTTAACCTTCACAATGGGTTCTCTCTGAAAGGTTATGTTGTAGTTTTCTCTAGACAGTGAAATGTGATCTCAAGCCAATAGGAAAGCTTGTGTGCAGTCATGTGCCACATCATGCCTTCATTAGTCATGACAGGGGGCTTCAAAGTGGTCATGTGTCGGTGGTTCAATTCTTCTAATAATACCTCTCCCTTTTCCCTTATTCTGAGCAGCGTCATGAGGTGTACAATGGACTAGTAGGCGGAGTGGACAGATGCCCGATATCTATTGTCAGTTACCACCCGACGGTGGGCTACAGCTATATAATAATTTTCAATGTTGATCTAGTATACGAGTATTACCTAGATTTGGTTCATCAGACTTACTGGAAATAAATGTTCTACTTGGATCAGGATTAGGGTTATTAACGTATGCTTATGAGTAAGTTGTAACCTATTGGGATTCTGATATAGTAGAACAACCATTTTTTTGTGGATGTAGGTATAATTTCTACTAAACCATGTAAATCTCGTGTTATTGTTCTTAATTGTTGACCGCATTGCATGTTCACAACAAAAGGAAGTTAGCAGCAGAGGAGGAGGTTTCATCCCAACTGTGTTCTTCCTCCTTGATTATGTTAGAGTGGCATGATACGAAAAATTTATGTTCCTGTAGACTCTCTCTCTCTCTCTCTCTCTCTCTCGCGCAAGCACCACGTAGGGCAAGCATCTCACTAGAGTATGGACTTCTTGTTTCTGTCATTTTTCCTTGATCCTTATTAGTTGATGATCACTGAAGAGGCATGAATGCACTTTGAATTTTATCATACCACCTCACTAATTTTATCTCATGCTGAAATTGGTCCTTGGTATTCCTTTCTATTCAGTATCCTAGAACTTTAAGGAGTAGCGTCTTAAATTAAAATTGTGCCTTTTGTAGTCTTTTACTTTTGTTGAAATAGATTAGGATTATGACTGCGATAGTGTAGTGTAATATATTGGTGGAATGGTCAGGTTTAAAGTAGATTTTTAGATTTCTGAGCACTTTACATTGTGTTTTAGCTTCCTAATTGATTGCATCATTTCTCTATGATTTTCCCATGATGCTTTATTCTATGTTGTGGGGTTAAAGGCATTATAATCAGAAGAACGTGGTTATTTGCTTAACAATTGTGCACTGGAAAATGTCATGCTTTTTTTTTTTTATGTGTATTAGACAAGTTTTGTTAACTGGTAGTGATGGTAGCGTGTATATGATCTCTTGTCAATTCTCCAAATTTCATAGCATTTTCTTTCTTATACACTTTGGCAGGAAGTAATAAGAATCAGGAACGAACACCCGGATGACAGCCATTGTATAGTCAATGATAGAGTAAAAGGTCGTCTTAAGGTTACCCGTGCATTTGGAGCTGGATCCCTCAAACAGGTTTGTTAGTTGTACTTTACACCTGTTATTTGTCTCAGTGAATTCCACTTTGATTAGAAGTTCCCATCATGTTGAAAACCTTGTTTTTTGTGATTAAAATAGCCGGGGTTGGTCCATGTCATGGCAGCTTTGCTAATTTGTTCATGCATTGTATGTTCATTGTCCATTGCATGACATTTTATTGGATATTAGCTTGGATGTTGAAAACATTCAAAAATTACTTTAGAATTGCAAAATGAAGAGGTAACTGGGAGATCATTTTTATGGCGAGATCAAATGTCAGAATACTTTTAGAAATCATATCTAGTATTTTAATGTATGTTGAGGGAATAAAAATCTAGCAGATAGAGAGAATATACAGAAATCATGGAACTACGTCCATATGAAGTGATGAACTTCACTACATTTCACTGCTTTTGAGAAAGCATTTTGCTGTTAAAAAAGCAGTTGTGTAGCTGTAAACAATAGCATCTGTGGTTGATTGTGTGGAATTGTTAACTTCATTTTCCAACTCAAGACTTCTAAGTTTCTAAATACCATCTTTGATGATACTTCTTAGTGTGTCCTTGAAGCCTTTGAAGTTTGATGTGCAACTTGTCTCCGGACAAGACAGTAATAGATTCTGTTGAATTTCTTGCACCATGGCATTCTTTTACTATAATATGCCTTTGTGACTGCTTTTCTTGCCTTTCTTCTAACAGACAAACGGTTCAAAATAATTCTAATTATCGATCAAAATAGCCAAATAGTTTACATGGCATGCATATTGTAGTGTTCTAATTTGAACATATCATATCATCTACTATGAGCACTGAAACATGTAGTACACATTTTTTTGCATGTGGTACAATGTGTACCACCACTACCCCACCCAACCAGCAAACAGTTGTGCTTGCATGTCATGGCTTAGATTAAGCTTTCCACAGTAATTTTTGATACATAAATTATGCCGGTATATATTAAAATATATGCAGGCTTACATGATGTGTTTATGTGTGTTCGTGCAGCCAAAGTTGAATGATGCATTATTAGAGATGTTTAGGAACGAGTATATTGGTACAGCGCCTTACATATCCTGTTTGCCTTCTCTTCGTCACCATAAATTGGGTCCAAGAGATCAATTTTTAGTGCTCTCATCTGATGGCCTATATCAGTACTTGAGCAATCAGGAAGTAGTTTCACATGTTGAGAGTTTCATGGAGAAGTTCCCTGATGGAGATCCTGCTCAACACCTGATAGAGGAGCTTCTTTTCCGTGCAGCCAAAAAAGCTGGTAATTTCCTCACCTTTTTTTACTTATAATTATTGTTTAAATATTTCAGTTATTGATATGCCTATTCCTCATCTGCATATTTACTAGAGCTGATTTTGACCCTGGACTTGAGACTTAATCTACTTGTAAACACGATAATTTGACAATTTAAATTTGGGGTATGCATATCTGATGGAAATTTTACATCATTCCAATTTGCTTAGCTTGTACAATTTGATCATCTGCTATGAATTACCATTAATTATACGATCCTAGAGGCCCATACTTTTGATTTCTTCAGACATATTTTGTTTTTTGTCGAATTGGTTTATACTTACTTATTCCTTACTTCTTGAGTAGTCTGTTATTCTCTTTTATATTCAGAAGTCAGAAATTTTCATCACTCCTAAAATTACTCCAAGTTTCTATACGAAAATAGGTGAAAGAGAAACTTAGATGACTATATATTTTAAGAAAAATGGCATAATGTAGTAACACCTTGATTTTGGGAGGGAAGCTCTTATACCTCCTCTTTCATAGAACGAATGGGCCGGGAGAGGCCAACCTGAAACCCACCTTGTTTATCTTTCTTTTCTTTTTGTTGGTCGTTATCACCTTGTTTACTTATTAACTACTTTTCCCATGAATTGTCAAATACAGCAAGATAGTATGGATGTGTTGATGTGGAATTAGATTTTGACCCCATCTGAGACTTATCTCCTCCCTCCCCCTGGGCCCTGGCCTCCAGCCACTAAATAAAAACAGAAATAGCATGACTGTTCTCACTCTTGAGATGCTTCTGTATTGCACTAATCAACTGGCTATTCATGTATATGCATTACCAAGTGACCATAACTTGGTGTCCGTCGAGGTCAAGAAATTTTTTTCCCACTAAATTTCTTTATATATTGGTTGTTGCATGTTTGCTTGTTTGATCTTTATCCTGAATTGTGTGAATCTGATATTCTAATGCACTCGTGATTTTTATGGTCAATCCTGGTCAAGTTGCTTGAAGCATGGTTACACCATAACTTCAAATGGTATATGTCTCAATCAAGTCTCTGTCTTCCTTGCCATGGCGAAGATACTGTGAACAGTTTCTAAACAACTAACAGAACCTTCTTCTTCCACATCTCATACTTACATTTTGCTTGTGACCGAAGTAAGTATCTGCAGCCTAACTAATGCATCCATTGAGTTCAATGACATTTTTCTTTTCCCCACTCCATGATCACGTTGATGGTGGAGAACATCGTATTTTCTTCCAGTTACAAGTGTGAACCATTGTAAGTTTTTGTAGGGCAAACCTGAATGGTCAATATCTCTTGACAAAATAAGTGGTTAAATTCTTTGATCTTGTTGGCCCTTTCTATGTCTTATAGCTACTTACAGTCACTTTTTACCTGTTGGCGCATGCATACTTATTCATATCTTTTTACGCTACGCTGTGAACTGAAATTTGTTATGCCTGCAGGAATGGATTTTCATGAACTGTTGGACATCCCACAGGGAGACCGGAGAAAGTACCATGATGATGTTACTGTTATGGTGATATCACTTGAAGGAAGAATTTGGAAGTCCTCGGGGAAATACCTTTAGAATACTATACACCATGAAAGACCTCTACCAAAGCTGTATCCTGTATAACATGAGGCGCTGCTGTTTCAATCCTGCAGCCGAGATAATCTGCAAGCAGTTTGGAAAGTTCTGATACGGACAAACTCTTCATGGTCCGTGAGGATTCTTTCTTTCATCTCACCTCAGTCGCATACAGTTACCAGGGAACCCGACATGATAAGTGCTGGGACTAATGTTAGATATTCATTAAGGCTGAAGCGGATAGCGAAAAATTGGTTTTCAGGATGGAAAAATAGGAATTTTGTAGTTGGGCATGTTTGGAACTGCCATTAGGAAAAAGACCCATCCTTTATTTTTTTGGATATATTTTCTTTTAGATTTTTGCGTAGATGGAGCACATTTTCTTCAATCTGTCTCTCTTCCCTTCTTTTTTAGCCAAAAATTCTGTCTGTAATCTGGTGGAGTTTTCAATTTCCTTACAGGACTTGGGAATTTTCCCTTGTCAAAGGTGAGAATCTGTAAATTTTGAGGTGGATTTCCACCAACGCGGTGTAAATGTGTCTGGAATTCAAGTTAAATATCAAGAGCTCGAACTGCTGGTGGTGACATTCTAATTTCTAGTAGTAACATTCAAATTATTAGTGAAAATCTATGGTCTTCCTAAAAACGATTGGTTCATTATGCTTTTAACAGCAAGAGATTAAGCCATCGTTGCACTTAGCTCGTGCACAGGCTCTCGTTAATGTGGAGTAAGAGTTACAAGTATTCAATTTTTTTACCAGTAGCTAATACTCAATGTGTGTATATTTATCCTGCATGCAGAGACGGTTCTCATGAAAGCAAACTTGATTTGCTTTCACGCCCTGGACTGCACCCATGATACTAAATCTTCTCTACTCGCCACAAAGAAGCCGGCCCTGTCTTCACTCTGCAGAAATGGAGCAGCCAGTTCCTTCACATGGGAAGCGAAGGCATTAGCCAGTCCTTGAGAGAACTTATGAGTTCCGGCACCAGCGTTGGCGGAAAACAGTTCTGGCAATGGCTCTTGACGCTCAACAGTTTTTCTCAGTGTTCCCATCCATTCTTCAAGGGCAGTGTGAGCTGCTCCCACCGACAGTGACCGAACATCCAAATGCCATTCACCTGCAGTCTTGGTATGTAAACCTGTATACAATCCACATAGAGTTCCTATATAGAAAACCTCATGAGCTCTCTGTTGAAGATTTCGGTTTCGACAAATGTCAATCAAGCAATTGCAGAAGGGTCTCCGAGCCTCAACTGCAGTGTCAATAAGAATGTTTCTGAACTCATGTTTGATTGTCTCAAAGCCTGTTTTTTCCCCTTCCATCAACTTAACAAAGGCAACCAATTTGGGGTTAGCTTGTTGTAAACAAGCAAGGACCTTATCAACCTCCTCACCCTCACAATAGGACACAACAGAGAGCAAGCAACCACACAGCCTATCATCTGGCTTCACTCCTCTCTCTATTGACAGCTCAAACACCCTAACCAAATCATCAATTCTCTTAGCTCTTCCTAAACACTGAATCAAGCCAGTGCATCCCATCACATTGAGCTCAATACCCGACTCTGATATTTCCTCAAACAACTCCATTGCCTTCTCAACATTCCCCACACGCCCATATATATTAAGCATTGCGGTGTAGCTCCAGGTATCTGGTCTAAAATGTTCTGATCTCTTCATGTCCTCAAACAGCCTCCCAGCTTCCTCTTCCAACCCAAGATTAGCACACATACTTAACAATCTGTTGTACAAAACAAAATCCATTGGCCACCCATTAGACTTCAATCTTTCCCATAACTCCAATGCATCTCGAGCCCACCTCGCCTTCGAGTAAATCTTAACCAGTGCTGTTAATGTCCTCTCATCCGGGGCAATTCCTGAATCAACCATCTCTTCAAATAAACTCCTAGCCAAACCAGGTTTCCCAGCCTTGCTTATTGATTCTAACAGTGTATTGTACACATACAAATTAGGCTTCACTTCAAGTGAATTCATCTCTTCCAACACATACCTAATACCATCATAGTCACCAGCTTCACCAAACATCTTCCCAAGCACAGCAAAAGCAACTTGATCAGGTTTCCACCCACTTTCTCTCCCTCTATCATAAAGACTCATCACCTCCTCAACCTTTCCTAATTGAGCATACACATCCAATACAGCAGAGTAAGTGATTTCGTCGGGCATGACACCAGTTTTGTACATCCTCTCGAACCACTCTACAGCCTTGTCAAAAAGATTACACCTTTTGGCACTAGTAATTATAGTACAATAAGTTATATTATCAAGGTCAATCCCATTGTCAATCATTTCAAGAGCAAGCTCCTCTATGTGCTCAAACTGCCTACCAAACCTCAGAGACTTCAATACAACATTGTAGAAGATTGTTTCCATTGGGAACAAATTCTGGGTCTTCATCCAATTGAAGAAAAGAAGAGTCTTTGGCCATTGTTTCAAGCCATTAAGCACCAAAAGAGCATTTTCCTTGGTGGGTGGGTGTGGAATTTCTTCAAGAACAGCATTGAAAGCAGTCTCAGTGTTGCCACAGGCATTGAGCTTCCTGGCAAACAGCTTGAGGTCTCTGGCTTGGGGATTGTATATGTAAGAAGAACGTTTGTGGCGTTGGAGAGAAAGCACAGAGGTTTTGGGCTTGGTGGGATTGACCCAATTCGACTTTGGCTTGGTTAGGATTTGGGTTTGCTTTGGTTGGTCAGAAAAAACGGTGGTAGATGGTGGCTTGAGTTGGTCTGATAGAGATGGGTTTTCCTTTTGGGGTGGTTCTGAAATTTTCTGAGGAAATTTGGCTGAGGTGCAAAGAATTGTGAATCTTTTAAAGGGAACGCTCAGCGGAGAAGTGAAACAGAGTGGTTGCCTAGTTTCTGAAGTGTGTGGTATTATGCTGCAATGGGCATCTATAGCTGCAGAAAAAGTTGCAGCCATGAGAGAGAGAAAGGTTTGGTTGATGAATTGTCTTTTTTCTTCTGCTTTCGGGGGTGTTTTGAAGATTTTCTTGTGATATTATCTGGATTGGAATGACGGTTGGAGAACCCCCTAAATACAGTTGGAACTAGGAAGATAATAGAGGGACATAAATGAGAACCGAAGAAGGGTAAAAGAGGGGGAAAAAAATTTGGGTTAGAAGATCCACCAAAGTGGGTAGCCTTAACCGGATGTGTATGGTAACAGGTGAGCCCGAAGGCTGTTCCCGTCCCTGTCAGGGGAGATGCCAACCATCTCTCCTTTCTACGAACACAACTGTTGCAACTATATAAAGGTTTCATACATGTTGTAGATAACCGATGTGGGATTGGAAAACAGTAATGATAGGTAAATTACATCCACATGAGGAGCTAAAATGGGCTGTTGGAATTATGGTGGTTTGGGAATGCATTAAGCTTTTGGGTAAATAGCAGTTTGCATCCAAAGGATTAAAAAATCATAATTTGCACCCTCAAAAGATCAATTATTTCAAATTAAACCCTCAATTAAATTAATTGATAGCAATGTGACTCCAACAACAACGTTTGTTGCGATTTCTATCAAATTGTTAGTCATGTTAAATGCACATGATGACTTTTGTTATTTTATGGCGCTTTCCCTTTTCATGTGTTTGTCGATCTAATAAAAATCGTTATGGACGTTGTGACTAAGATTACGATTTTCTTCAAATTGAAAGTCTTGTGAAAGACATGTGATGACTTTTGTTAGATTATAACCCTTCTCCTTTTCACTTACATCTCACATGACCGTCAATTTGATGAAAATTGCAACAGTCATTTTGATTGGGGTCACATTGCTACTAATTAATTTAATTGAGGGTATAATTTAAAATAATTAATCTTTAAGGGTGCAAATTAAAAATTTTTAATCTTTTGAGCTGCAAACTGTCACTTACCCTAAGCTTTTTCACTTGGATTATTTCCATATTTTCTTATTTTTTTTCATAGAGTGAAAAACATATTTTAAATGGTAATTATTGTCGCATGGTTAAGAGATAAAGGGGGTGTCAATCAAGTCGTGTTCAAGTAATATCATTTTAAGTTTACATTAAGTATAAATTCATCATTATCTAACTTGTTTAATTAATAATTTTAGATAGTCTATTATTAATCCAACATTTTCATTAATCGTGTCGTACTCTAGTTGAAAAGTATAATTTATAAACTAGAGACTCTCTTCTCTCTCAATTGCCCGCACCACCCATACGCTGTAGATGAACTAAAAAACTTCGAATTCCAATGCTAGCCCATCGAAAAGAAGAGAGTCCGATGCGAATTACGAAAACAATTGTTTTTTGCATGAAGAGATAAAAACTACCCTCTCCCAATAGTCTTATACATTGCACTGCCCTTTTAGCTTGTTGCATTTTGAGTGTTCTTGAGCTTGGATCAACCCTGTAAGATTGTGAGCTTCATGATCATCAACCACAATAACAGCAACAAGATTAAATGCTCATATTAAAATGATTAGAGAAAGTTAGCAATAAAAAAAATCTTAATTGCAAACTCAAACAAAAAACAGCCCAATGAACGAGATTTCCACAACTGCGAGATCTAAGAAGAGTTAAATGTACGCAATTTTACCTCTACATGCTAGGAGATTGTTATTTATACAACTATAAACATTAATCTCTAGATTACGATAGAACAACCTTAACATTGTGTCAAAATTCAGCCTCCCCTGTTTAATAGGAATAGCTATATATTTGGGGATCTCGACCGCAATATCATGTTTAACATTCCAATACTTAATTGAACCAAGGTACATGGGAGAAAAACATCAAGCTATGGAGTTCAAGGTTAAACTACAAAATCAGAGCACTCAACCAAGTTTATTTGAATGCCAGAGTCAAGAATTGAAATTTCCATGTGGATCCAGGTGAATAAACTCAAAAAATGAGCAGCAGGGGCAAAAGGCTTCTGACTTTCAATGAAACCAAACTTGTTGAATTTGACAGGGCCATCATCAGTTTATTTCTGAAACATAAATGACATTTATATTGTACAACAGATTCTGATTTTTACACCATCAATCACCACTCACTATGAGGGAAGTGCCGGATTTAGTAATTGTCTAATATGATTTTCAACTTGCTTTCTGACAGAAGTATAAGGTAAACGCTCTATCACCTCAGCTGCAAACGAGAAGACGAGAGCTTTTCTAGCGGTTTCTATGTCAATACCCCGTGCTTGGAGGTAGAAAAGTTGGTCGTCTTCTAGGTCGCTAATTGCAGCCCCGTGTGAGCACTTGACATCGTCTGCAATGATTTGGAGATTAGGTTTGACATTTACAGTTGCACGAGGCTGAAGAAGGAGGCTCCTAGTTAGTTGTCCCGCATCTGTCTGTTGTGCCTTTCTGTAATGTAAATTACACCCATCAGAAATCCTATACCTTTCTAACAAGACATCACAAAAAACAGATTGACAATATAAAGATCAGAATTTCAAGATTTCTACAACTTTGGCCTGATGCTACTACCAAGGATGCAATAAACAACTTTGATAGAAAAAAAAATGGATATCCTTCGACTGTATTGATATCACCTAATTAACAAAGGTTTGAAAGTTGCCATTGCCCAATCAGGTCATTTTCATGGCCATTTCTCATAATGCATGCCTAATATAGTAACCGGACTTTAAAGGATTGACTGAATGAACGGACTGAAATGTGCCCATTATGGAGGAGGTTTCTACATTCTAGTGCAAGTTACACGATTGAAAGTACAGTCAGCCACTAATTTTTCCAATCCGATTTACTCCCTTAAGTCCAAAGCTACCTTAGAAGTCTTCTTGGACGGTGAAACAACGAATACTATAGAAAACAATGTCGTAAATCATTTGTTCAGGCAGATCAGAAACTATGGTTTCAGTAAAAGAATGTCATATTTCTGAGTTTGACATTCCATGCACCTAAGCGGGGACCTACACGAGCACTTATGAAATGATAATAAGCAGCTGAATATGTCTGTAAGGGCCTACGAGATAGAGGAGGAACCTAGGAACCCATTTCAAGAGCTGAATGCCCTGAGTTTGATTCTCTGTCTTAACGCCATGCCCAGGGATTTACCCCAGTGCATGTGTCTAGAAGAATTAGTCCAGTGCTCTAAGAGATCCGATACCTCCTTAGCACCAAAAAAACAATTACGGAATAAAATAGAAGGAAAAGATAGACATGTTGATGTAAATCGTATTAACTCTAATACCAAATTGATGTAGACTAGGAAGACAAGAATTACCGAGAAGAAGAGAAGAAGAAATGAATGAGAAAGAGAAAGAATTTGAGAAGGAAACAATATAAGTATTCAATAATAATCAAAGTCTAAATAAAACCCTTACATGCATCTCTTTATATAGGAAACTAAAATCCTAAAACAAATAAATAATGATAAATAAATCCTCAAAAGTTAAAGAAAATACTTAAAAGATAAATACTAAAATTATCCAAATTACTCTCATGATGAATCTAAAATATTTATCTAATTCCTACACGATCTCCATCACATGTAACTTCGGAAGTTGGAGGCACAATATCAACATTCAACCAGATGATGAATTCTGGCATATAGCTTACATGCCCCAAGTTACCAGGTACCTTAAGAACAGGAAAGGATGAGATGAAAACAATTACCTATTGACTTGTATGTTCCCATCAAATACAACCTGTCCTGTTGAATGAGCCACAATACACTTATGAAGTTGTCGAGAAAATCCTCGCGGATGGTCCATGACCAGTTTACTATGTAAATCATGGGTCTGATCACTGCCAGACAAGTGAAATGTAGACAACTCTGTAAATGTCTCTGGGCCAACTTGCTGAACACAAACATTATGCCTGCTCAACTTCCCTCCCGTGCTGACCTCTATGAGCTCATAAGTGCTTGCTGTTTCCTGCAAATGGTCAGCACAGATTAAAAATTCTGATGTTGCTACATAAACAAAATGCAAAAAAATTTAGGTACTTGTACAGCAGCCATCAGAGCTCACTATGCAACTTTTGTGGCAAACATTGGATCAGCACCCAAATAATTAGGAATATCAGAAAGAGGGGGGAGGGGGTGGTGCCTTCCATGGTTCCACCCATTCAACACAGTTGGATAAGATAACCAACAAAGAGAGTAGATTAAGCAGATGAAACCAACTTCTGAGGAGAACAGGCCCATATCAAAATTTGCAAGCAAAGTACTTCATTAAAATATCCGAACAATGAAAAATTATTCACGAGTACTTTGTACACAAAAGCTTCCTTCCTACAAGAGTGCTTGCCCATAGTAGACCCATTTCTTTTTCCTTGCAGCGTGAATCACAACTATGCAGAACAATTGTCCTACAATTCATACAATTAATTTATGTTTCTGAACTACAAGACCAGAAAGGTCTATTGGCGCTTAGAAACTAATCTATATACAGTTTGATGTGAATGTTAGAATAATTTGCTTTCAGAGCACTAATTGTTCCACACATTTTTTTTAAGTCAGAATCTCTTCGAGCAGATTATTACTTCTGAACATAGAATGTCTTTAGCATCCGAGTATATCAGCAAGAAAAATGGTTGCAAGTTCTGAAGCTGATTCATTGGTTCAGCAATCTGAGAAACTCAACGAAAAGTAAGAAAATAGAAAATTGCAAGACATTAGAACTGTTTCTACATAGACCGCTGTATGGTTGTCTTTCCAATGTTCATAAGAGAATTGTGATCACATCGAGGATGTAGCATTAGTAACAGTACAAGACATAGGCCAAAGGTGTAAAATGGCTCCCATATAAGGTCACAGTATTGTTAAGGTTATTAAAATTATTCTTCTCTATGTAATTACAGAAAGGCATTGCAAACAGCTTGCACCAATCCAGATTTTAGCTACAAGATGAGTCCCCACACCAGTACACATACACATACGCAGAGGGAAACACATGGGGAAAATAGACTTAATTCCTTTTTAAAACCGTCCATTTGAATGAACTGATTTAGGCTTCAAAAGCTAAGCTTTAAACAAAACTTCCACAACATTGAATGTTAGGCGAAGTTCTTTAAGTTAATTTAAAGTATTAATGTAACAAACTACATTATATAACAAACTACACTAAAACAGATAAACAAACAGACTGGAGCTAAACTGAAACAGACCAGAAAATTCAATCAGGCGAGAGACTTGGCCTGCCAACTATTCGAGGCTCAACTCTGATACCACATTACTCCATTCAACCCAAAACCAATTAGCTATTTGAAGGAAAAAAAAAAAACCAATACCAGATTCCTTCCAAAACTACCAACAACAACCGAAAGAAACTCAATCATTACACTAGAAATCAATTTCTTCGTAGTCTGGTATGTTTTTATTTATATATTTATTCTTTTTGGGGGTGGGGGGAGGGGGAGTCGGCAGAGAAATGTGCCCAATGCATATGCGAGAATTTAAGGTAAACAAACTCTTGTAGGGCATTAATCCTAGCAAGACCATACTATTATCAAAGAAACTGTTTTCCTTTTTTTGATTAGTAATACACTCATTCAGGGCGACAAAAGGGAGAACAATGCTTGTAAACACTAGGTATATGAAGAAGCCACAAAAAATATCTACAAACTAGCCTCACAACATTACCTAAAAAATCCAAAAGGAGGAAAAATCATGTGACATCTCATGAAGCAAAAAAAATTACCAGGAAAAAAAGAACACACTTGAGAACAACAGTTGGAGCTAATGTCAGGGTAGCTCAATCCTCTAAAAATACCTTTTGATGCACTCTTTTCGTATACACCACATGCAGCTCAATGATCATTGTGTCCCAAATTTTCCCAATCTCCTAACTTAGCTCTCCCCTAACTTCTCTTCAACTGATCTTGACATAATCTACTCAACATCAAACAAAGCAAATATAAAGTGCCATGGAAATCCTGAGTGAGGTGGTCAAATAAATTGAAATTATGCCTAATTGGGGAATACATTCCTAAAGCTCGATATAGATGAATTAAACATAAGCAATATAAAATTCAAAGAGAACACGAGCCTATCTTCTAGTTGCAACCTATGTCACGCCACATGAAGTCTGACTGCTATATGGACTTTGATGAAATTTGACAAAAAAGTCCACGCCTATATGCAATGTTAGATATAAAAAATTACTGTTTCTTCTCATGTATTGAGTGGGATCTTTACCGTTTATATAGATTACTTCTCATGTATTGAGTCAGATTCCATGATTTCCTTCCAACGACCAAGCTAGATGCACTCTAGGACAAATAGGGAGGCAATAACGATTGTAGATCAAGAGATAACCAAGAACGAACACTTTCGATATTTGGGGTCATTTTCTATGGGGTGGGAGAAATTACAGACGATGTTAATCACAGAATTAACGCATTATGGATTAAATGGAGGTATTCATATTATGTTATCGACGTATACACTTAGGTTGAAAGGTAGGTTTCATAAATGAGAATGTTAAGATGGATGGTGGTAAAATGAGAAATGATAGAATTAGAAATGAGTATATTTGTTAAACCATAGCACCAATAGGATATAAATTAAGAGAGAATCGACTTAGATGGTTTGGACATTTTATAGAAGACCTAATAATGCACCGGTAAAGAAGAGTAATTTGATATATCAATAGTGAAAAAAATAGTTCAAAAAGAGATGACAGTTTATGATCTAACAGAACATATGACCCTTGATTAGAGCACAATGAAGAAACATGATTCATAATTGTGATTATGGGTTTATTGAGTTGAATTGAGGCTTTAACAAACTCATTCTTTACATCTTGATCTTTCCTTTGTTTTTGTAGTTTCGTTGAGTTCATTTAGAGTAATCTTTATAAGGTCCAGTAAGCATATGGTCGAAAGCGCCTTCATATAATAGTAAGACAACTACGAGCTACCTTTTTACATTTATCTTTTAGAGTCCATTAGAGGAATCATGAAAGGTCAACTACTTGTATGGCCAAAAACCAATATGCTTACCAATTTGACACGAGGAAAACAATTCCATCAACAACAGGAGCGCACCTGTCCCAAAGTATGTTTCAAGAGCATAACCAAAGTGAATGGAATTCGGCCAAATTGAATGTTCGAAAAAAAAGGCATTTAGTAGCCAACAATAAGACCCTCCATTTCATGTTCATGTCCAATACTTTGCATATATTCAACTAATTAACTGCGGGATATATAGTTGTCACTCAATAAGTGAAGTATGGATTGAAGAAATACCTGACTAACAGAAGTCCACTTAAAATGGGCAGCACTCAAAGACTGGCTTTGAATGTAAGAATGGCTAACTTTTGCCCCTTCTCCAATTATTACTTCCATAACCGAATTTGCCCAATAACACTTATCCCCTTCTCCACCCACATACTCCTCAATTATACCAATCTCCCCTCCCTTCTCCACCAGCACCAACACCCTCGGATTCGAAACGGGCAAACTTTTTGACCCGTCATAGCTCCCTTCAACCGAAAAAAACTTCAAATGCAAAGGACTCTCAACTCTACACCCCTCAGGTACATACACAACCACCAAATCTGGAGCACCTACACCATTAAGTGACCAAAATAAGTCCCCTTGAAAGCTAGACACATATTCAAACACCCTTTTCATAATAGCCTCAGAATTGAGGCTCAACAAGCTACCTACAAATACGCCATTGGGCAATTCGGATAATTGGGGTGAATAATTCACAATGTAACCATCAGCAATTGCGAGACTGGGGAATTGGGTATCTGTGGGAACATCCAAAAAGTTCAAAGATTGAGGTGGGGATGAGATGGGTAGAATTTGGGAGTTCTTGATGAAGGAAGTGTCTATGAACCGAAAAGGCTCGTCTTTGCGAGAAGGCCACGGAGTAGAGAGTAGGGACTGTGAAGAAGTGTCTCTGAGCTTTTCAAGAGGTGGCAGTGGTGGTGAAGAATTGGAAGAGAGAGAGTCTTCAAGAGTTTCTGCAATTTGGAGGACAAATGGGTCGGAGAGGGTTGCAAGTGGGGTTAAAGAGGGTTGAGTCAAGACTCTTGTTTTGGTTGATTTTGGCCTGAATTTGGTTCTGGGTGTTGTCAATTTTGTGATACATGGTGATATAGAGACATAGATAGATGCACTTGGGGTTTTATGAAAGATGGTTGGGACGGTGGAAGCAGCCATAGCTGGCATTGACGGTGGTTGTTTAGGGAGGGAGAGGGAGGGAGAGTCTACACCAGGTTAACCTAAAAGTTATGATTCATAAGTCTTAACTTGTACTAAGACAAGATACTGGTAACAATAGGCAATCTCACTTGGTAGATTCGACTTTATTACTATTAATTGGAAATGTAATGTTAATGAGCATATCCAGTATCAATAATTAATATTTAGTTTTTTCTCAAACAAATTAATCAGATTAACTTATTTATATTTTAATTAATTTTTTCTTTGATCCGATCAAATGCAGGTAATAAACTTAGGTAAACAGATCCAACTACAATATGAGTGATCGTTGCCAAGGAAGGCTTAAAATCAGGGTGTCACATTTGTGGCGAAAAAGGCCTCGTTCCGTTCCAGGGGTCTGAGCCATCAGACAGTAACATTAAATATTAATATATTTAATAAAAAAATAATAATTTAACAAAAAAATAATAATATCAAACGATAACATACTTAATAAAAAAACTTAATTAAAAATTTAATCATTATAATAAAGTGACACCATATGTGAATATTTATTCTCTTGTGACGGTGTCACTCTGTTACAATGATTAAATTTTTAATTAAATTTTTATTGAGCATGTTACTATTTTTTTGTTGAGTATATTACTGTTTGATATATATATATATATAAACATAATTTTAATGCTAACATAATTTTCAAGTTAGAAGTTGTTAATACTAATACAATTTTCAACTTAAAAGTTTTTAGTTTTTTCGAGCAAGTTTTGATTAAATATAATTATTAAAAATATTTTAGACAATAAAGATTAAAATTAGCTTATTTCTAAATAAATTTTTGAGTGAATTTAAGTTTAAATAAATCTACAAAAAAAAGACTGGTCTCCAAACTACTCTTAATATTAATATATGTGGCAGGCAAGCCTCGGGGCACTTCCTCATAAAATTATAAAACGTTTGTTTACTCTTTTGGGCTACTACTCTTGCACATCACACGAGATAACTTGGGCCAAGAAGGCTCTTGGGCTAGGCTCAGAATGGTAGCCCTCCGTGGGTTGTGATGGCCCACTTCTTGATGGGTAGGTCAATCAACTAGTGAGTGCGAGCCGGTGACTAGGAGCTCGGGTCAACCCAATATGTCTGTTGTCCGGCATTAGATGATATTGTTTGTTCCGGGTACAATTTACAAACAAGGTTGGGAATTGGTTCTCATTCAATTCATACAAATAGTATTAATAAGAGTACTATTTGATCTAATTTTTTATGTAGAGCAATGCTATAGCAATTTTCTTTTATATAATAAGTTTAAATCAAGATTGAGATAAGATATAAATTTATAATTATAATATCAAATTTATGTTTGGATTAGATAATAGTGTATGGTGACTCGCCCACCCAGACCAGACCTAGAATTACAAGTCAAGTCCAGCTCAAAAATATAAGCCAACAAAGACAAAGCCTATCGCCTTGAAAGACCCACTCTACTAGTGACTCGCGTGAGATCTCCATCTTATGAAGGGAATCAAGGTACATATCAAAAGCCTCAACCACCTCGTTCGTTACACCAACATCAGGGAATAAGGGTGACGCCTTAATCAGGACTCCCTACGATGGCGCCTCCATCAAAGCGTGCTCTGGGGCACCATGAAGACTATACTCCCTTATAAATTATAAGTCTCATTTACACATGGGGGGCATCACACATATTTCAGTATACTACACTCTTGATCAATAAGATCATCCAGCCACTGTAACTCTTCTTAGTAGAGTAAATCACCCAGACCGAATTCGCTTAATCTTTATGTTTGCATTTGTTGAGCCCTTCTTACTTCATCTATTGATTGATTTTGCATAAACACTTTTGTGCAGCATCATATAATGTTAAACTAAAAATGACAAAACAAATATGAAACACAAGAGTTTGTAGAATGTGTAGCTTCATATGAGAGTGTGGATCTATTTTTGTAGGGGTAATAAAATCATTGTATTTTTAATATTGAACATGTTAAAAATAATACCACCTATCATATGGTATTCGTTAACACCTAATATTAGATATTAAATGACAATAATGAAACGGGTCGAGATTAATGAAAAATTAATTTCGAGTCACTATAACCTAATGCAAATATGTTATTAATCAAATCCAATCTCTTAACTATTTTTCATTTTTATCTCTATTTTTTTGGTAAAAATAAATTATTACCACAAAATATTCTTTATAGAAACGATCCATTACACAAATTTTTTATCATTACCACAACATATTTAACAGATACGATTCATTATACAAATTTATGATACAAGTGATCACCTACAAATCTTTCAACAAACAAACTTGTACAAAATTAGAAATTGGGATCTTTGAAGTCTTCTCATATCATCTACCCAACTTACTTGAACACCAACTAAATATTCATTTGATTTGGAATATTAATCCCTCTAATATTCTTTTTTTTTTTGGGGATCAAATATAATATTTTTATCAATTCCAATGAGACTCATGGTATAAAACTCGATTCTCTATCAAAAACACAATTAGTGATCTACAGTTGAAAAAAATTGTATTGAATAATATCTGAATTTAAATTAATGTTGTAAATTATTTAACCTCCCGTGTTTAGTGTTTCAAAGAAATGGTCATTGATATAGTAAGCAAAACAACAATTTTTTGTTATGATATCGAAGAGGTAAGGTATAAGAATATCCAAGTACACAAACTCCTATTATTAAGAGTTTAGAGACTCTTGAATGTACATAGTTTTATCTTTTATACAACGAATTTATTTTCGTGATTTAAATTCGTAATAATTCAATGAAACAAGCTTACCAATAGGAACATATTGAACTAGTTGTACATTGGCATGACCCACTTTGGGACAGTATTTGATCTCCCTGCAATGATTCAATTCAACTCGGATGAATGACTTTGGCTGCAACATCTCCCCCCCCCCCCCCCCCCCC